TGAGATTCTTATCCCGCTTGCTTGGGGGCACCCTGAGGCATTATTGATTCATTATTTTCTGTAATCATGTCAGGCTTTGAGATTCTTATCCCGCTTGCTTGGGGCGCCCTGAGGCATTATTGATTCATTATTTTGGAAAATATTGAATCAATAATGCCTCAGGGCGCCCCAAGCAAGCGGGATAAGAATCTCACGGGATAAAGAATCTCAAAGCCTGACATGATTCCACAAGTGAGCAGCTACCGTCGCCTGTGCAACAGAAGGAAGATGGTAACCCTCATCATACCTGCCTGTCAATGCAGCCGACGGCCGCCGCAACACGATCAATAATGCCTCTGAGCGCGCCCCAAGCAAGCGGGATAAGAATCTCAAAAGCCTGACATGGTTCGACAAGTGAGCAGCTACCCTCGCCTGTGCAACAGCAGAAGGAAGATGGTAACCCTCATCATACGTGCCTGTCAATGCAGCCGACTGCCGCCGCAACACGAAACGAATTAGCCCTCCAACGGGAGAGCAGCATCGCCCGCTCCAGATCAAACTTCAAAGCTTTAGTCTACAATACAAGGAAAACTTGAAAGACAAGGGAAAGAAAAGAGGAAATACTGGGTCCAGCTTCCCAAATTTGCTTGTATGGAGTATGACAAAGCAGCAGTAGCGTCCAAAATGAAACCCTGACAAGTTTTTGCGTTGCACCTTTAACCCCTGCTGACCCGCACACGCGTATACTCGGATGGGATGCGGTTGCTTCATGTATGGGGAGGCGGAGAGAGAGCATGGCACGTCTGTCGTTTCGACTGCCACGACAGCAGTGTCGACTGCAAGAGCCAGATGTCGGATAAAGAAGCAGCGGTGTCACCCGAAAAACATACCTGTTCGATGTCAAGACTCTCCGCCTGGCCCGTCGCGATAGGTGGTCCACACGAGCACAGGAGAAGCACGAGCACGGCCATCCTAACCCCGAGGGCCAAGGGGGCGCCAGCAGCCCGACCGGCACGTCCGCTGTTCATAGAGGAGGCTGGTTGATGTACTACGTACCAGCTATGTCCTGCGGTGTGCAGCAGTAGTCAGACAAAGAAAAGATGATGACGGAAATATCGAGGTCTCGTATCCCTCTTTCCCTTTCTCGGATCGATTGAGCAGCAGGCCCCGGGAAAGCGCAAGCTACGCGCGTTTTGTGTACAGGAGTAACACACAAGAGTTCTTCCCAGCGCGGGTATGTGTTTGAGGTCCAGAGAGAGAGGGAAAGCGCACCGTGTCGGATTTGGTTTGTTCTGTCTCAGCCCCCGCAGAGGCCACGCACAAGAAGGGTACCCTCCATATACTTCTAGTCTGAGGCGCCCCTCCGAACACCAGACCCACCGCTCGTGGGCGCACCAGTCGAGCCTAGCTTTGCCACTGACTGACCAGTGTAGCCCATTGGTGCACTGCAGCCGCCAACAAGGAGGACGGAACCGCGCCGTGATGGTCCTCCCCCGTCGTAGCCATGCGCGACCGACGAGGAGACGCCACGTCGCGTGCACGACGGCGGCCTTCTTCTCAGTAATGCTCTGTTTGTTCTACTCCAACTGGCACCCATTCTTCTCGTCCTACCGAGAGACAAGCTCCTCCTCATCCTTCTCCTTGAGCACCCCCAGGAGCCACGCGGACACCGCGACGGCTGCCATCAACGGAGGAAGAGAAGGAGGTGGGGGAGGGGAAGAGGAAGAGGGTGGGGAAGGGGGCTTTCCTCTGTCCAAGCTTCTGTCGGGATATCCACCCTACTGGCGGGATCCTCGAAGAGACTTCCAGGCGGAGTACGACGAGGTGATTGCGGCCGTGCCAGGCCTGAGCGGGACCAGGCCAGCGCGCTTCGCCTTCCTCATCATGGCGCACGGGCCGGCGGACGTGGAGCTGCTGAGGAGAAACGTGCCGTGGCTCTACAGCCCGCTCAATTTTTTTCTGGTGCGTGCGGTGTGTGTGTTTGTGTGTGTGTATTGTGTGAATGTTCTCTCGGATGATCCGTGAGACGGTTTGTCTGTTTCACCGGAGAAACCCGCTGTTACGTGGGGAGAGGTATACCTTCGCCGGGATCTGCAGTTTTGTCTCTTGCGTGCAAGCTGCCTTTTGCGATAGCTCTTTATCTCGGATGCTTGGGTCTATGCCGCTGTAGACTGGCACTACTGCTGCTGTAGTCTCTAATCCTCAGAGCCTTAACACCATTGACTGGCTTGTCGATGCACGCATACATAGTGGCAGTAACTGATAGGAACGGAATTCGCCGCGATCGTTCCGCAATGCTCCTCTTGCGAAGAACCGTCCGACTAAAAGTTGGTTTCGTCCTATTTATTATTCATGAGTAAAATTCATGGATATTTATCAACATGTTCATGCGTACTCGAAGGAGGCAATGTGATCCCTGTTATCTCGGATACTGCAGGAGGTTGAAGCAGCTTCTAGAGGGAATCACTATTGTCATTTAGAGGACGACGGCAATCGATACACAAGCGGGCTCAGCTGATGATTCTCCTTGTTTTTAATCTCCATGCAAGGAAAGATTCGGCTGCATTGCAGTATATACAACGCAGAGGTGTGCGGCAGATGGTGATTGCTGTAGCAATAGCTCTACCGCCGTTCTCTGTACCTTCTACTTCTAGTGTTTAGTTTGTGCTGTGCCTTGCCCTGATGCTGTCTCTTGGGTGTGTGTGTTTTCGTCCTATTTATTATGGCTACAGTCCCCCCATTTTTCGTGGTGAGACGTGTACTACACTTTTCAGCGTATGTAGAGTACTTCACTTTTCAGTGTATTTTTTCGTACAACTACAACCATCCAGGGTCACACAGGAGGGGGTAAACACCAGGACTTTGTTCTTCTTTTTATTTCTTTTCATGCCCCACCTTCCTCCTGCGGTGTACTCAAGAGCCTAATAACATGGCTCGACGACACGAAGGCTGCCCGAGCAAGGGCTAGCTAGCCCTATCCTAACCCTGAACTCGATTCGCCTCCTCTCCCTGCTAGATTCACATGGACCGGAAGAGTTCAGACAAGGACCGGGCGGATGTGCGGGAGCTGTTGCATGGGCTGGACAACGCAAGGATCCTGGAGCCGGCGCAAAGCGTGTCGTGGGGAGGGTATTCCATCACATTGACGGCTCTGTTCGGTCTGTCCACGCTCGTAGAGTGGAGCAGGGACTGGGACTACTTCATTAACCTCAGGTACCCGATGAGCTTGTAGCCGTCGTTGTTGTCGTTGCTGGTGTTGCTGTTGCTGTTTCTGCCTGCCGCCCTTGTTGGCGGCTGTTTCTTTTGTGGGAGATCAATGACCGGGGGAGAGTTGTCACGACCTGGGGATTGGCGCCATGTGCAAGCAGGGCGCACCTTCGTTGTGGGTGCAGGCGTGGCACCCCGTATGTCCGCTGAGGAGCTGGCTGTGACTTCGTCCTCTATTTGCGGACGAAAAGGCAGACACGGAGCGGCAGGGGCGTGGGGGTTCGGCTTCTCACTGAAAGCCAGCAGGAAGAACAACGATTGGGAGAGGAGGCCAATTTCACTTCGCCCGGACCTGCTGCCGCTTGCAGGAAGGGTCCTTCGGTGTTTCTGTCTACCGCCAGGCAGTAGGAATTTGTGGAGGGCGTGTTGAAAGAGAGGAGAGATACGGCTGAATATACGGCCGCATGCTGGTGAAATGGTCTGCCAGTTCGCGCTGTACTGCCGGCGTTCGTGGGACGGCACACCAGTTCGGTGGTGCTCCAATGGAACCGGGGAGCAAGGAATGAGTGCAACCAGGGTCCACAAAAGGTGCCCCCCCCCCCCCCCCCCCCCCCCCCCCCCCCCCCCCCCCCCCCCCCCCCCCCCCCCCCCCCC